TAAAGTGACTGAAAAATAAGAAATTGTTAAAAACTGTGCAACATGCCTTTTCCATACGCAGGGTTTTATAGGCCAGTAGAGACAGGCAGAGTTCCAGGCTAACAATAAAAAGCACGGCAGGGAGACAAAGGTGACATGACAGAGCTCCTCATCCTGAGTGGCTCGTGTCTTAATTAGTGGGGCTGTAGGATGGTAAGATGGGTTCAAGAACCTCCCCCCACACACACACAAAGACCACACCCCTCTTGAGAGGGTCACCCAGACTCCCAGGGGACCCTCCCACCTCCTGGAAAAGGCCCCTGGCTCCTGTCCATGAGGACCAATGAGGCCCCCACCCTCCACCTTCAGGTCTCCCCTTAATCCCTTTGCTCTCCTGGGCCTGGGGGGGAGAGGAGGGAAAACACTTCCCTCCACCTCCTGCACTCTTAGCTTACACCACTGTGATGAAAGACGGTACTAAGGAAAGAGCAGGGAGGGTCAGATCATGGACTAGACCAGGGCTTCTGACACCCACCTGCACGTGGGCACTGCCCAGGGAGTTGGAAGGGGGGAGGGAGAGGGGAGGAGATCAGAATGGCTGTGGGGCTTTGGAGGCTTAGAGGGTTTGGAGCCTGAGGGATTCAGCTTTGGAAGTGGCTTCCCAGAGGCCCAGGAGGCAGAGATCTGCATTATTCCAGCTCTTCAAGTCTCTGGTGACTTTGCCTGAGACCCTGGTGCAGGCCAGGAGGTGTGTGGGGAGAAAAGAAAAGGAGGGAGGGGGGAGCAGGAGAGGCTCCTTGGAGTCTCCTCAGGAGCTGGGGGAGGCCTTGCTCTGTGGGGGGACCAGGGGCAGTGATCTGGGGGCTGCTGGGGTTGGGCCCCTCCCAGCTGCTCAGAGCTGCTTCCTGGGACTTTGGGATCCTAAACTTAGGCTCTTGTAGCTTTGTCCATTTTTTTCTCCCCTGCACAGACCTCCGGACCCTGCGTCCACGTATTTGCTTTCCTCCCTCCACCTTTTTTGTTTGTTTGTTTGCTTGCTTTCCTAAGGGAGCTGTGGAAGGGGCGGGAGGGGTAGGAAATGCTGGGAACACAATTGAGAGGCGGCCTGAGGGTTGGCTCTGAGGGCTGGTCTTGGGCGGGGCCGTGGTCCTGCCTTCGCTGGCCCCGCCCCGTCTTTGGTTGTTTTTCTTTCTCAGCTGAAAATCTCCGTGGTGTTCGGTTCTCGTCTGAAATCTGAAAAAGCAGGGGCCGACTTTCCTGTGGGGCGTGTCCTCCGGGCTCTCCCGACCCCTGTGCTGCTCATTGGGCCGCTGTGGCCGCCGGCGCCTCTGGTTGGTGGCGCTGCTGGTGGGCGGAGCACTGGCGCCTGTTCTGGGCGGGGACTAGGGTTCCAAATCTGCGGATGCTTCTGCCGGTGTCGCCCGGAGAGGTCGGGCAAAAAAAGTCCAGGTGGGCGCGCTTCTGGCCGCCGGCGCTTCAGGGGGCGGCGGGTCTGGTCGCCGGCGCCTCCGGAGGCCAATGCAGGATGGGGCCGTGGCCAGTTCTGCTTCTGGCTGCCCTTGTCCCCGCCGCAGCCCTGGGCGCTGGTGAGTGGGGGTCGTTGGTCCTGGGGGGCAGGAGCCTGGGCCGTTCCGGGGACTGGGAGGGGTCCCCTGGGTGTCTTGGGGACCCTGTCAGGAGGGGTGTGGTCTGTGGGTTTTTTTTCTTTTGATTTATTTTTATTTATGCACAAGAACTGGGGTACAGGCCAGAGGTGTGGGGGGGTGAAAGGATTCCCCAGAAACAGAGTGGGGAGCAGAAGAGGCACATCTACTGAAATACAAGTGTGGTGGGGTTTTTTTGCTAAAGAGTGATTTATTTATGCTACAAGAACTGGGGTGTAAGCCAGAGGTGGGGGGGCGGTGAGAGGATTCACCAGAGACAGTGGGGAGCAGAACGGGAGGAGCTACTGAAATGCGCGGCTGAGGGGAGCAGGGCCGGACAGGAGAGGCTGCTGTGCAGGGGGGTCAGCTCCCCGGCCGGGGATGGAACTCAGGACGCAGCCCGGTTAGCTCCCTGGTGCTGGGGGTGGGGGAGGGGAGGGGCGCCCTCGCCGGGGTAGGGGGTGGCCCTGCCTTTCACCCCTGCTCCTCCAGGGAGGCCCTGAAATACACGTCTTAAGGACGCGGCAGGGCCTCCCCGGTGGGCGGCGGGTTGAGGGCAGGGCTGTGAGGCTGGCGCGCGCCGCCCCCCTCTTCTGCTACGTGCCCGCGCAGCGGATGAGTGCCCTCGGGGGCCGGGGGTGAGAGTGAGTTGTAGTCAAAGTTGCAATCAAAGTCGCAGTCACTGTTGCAGCGGAAGCGGAGGCGCTGCACGGTGGACGCGGAGTTGGGAGGACGCAGGAACTGGAGTCGCGAGGACACGGAGTAGCAGGACGCAGAGTCGCGAGGTGGCGGCGAGGTGGCGGTGTAGCAGGACGCAGAGTCACATGCGCGCCCGCCCCGCCCCGCCCCGCCCGCCCTGCCCCGCCCCGCCCCGCCCCGCCCCGCTGCTCCCCTCGGCTGGGCTCAGCTACTGGGATTGGATTTCAATTGGATTTTGGCTGGCCAGGGAGTCCCCTATGGCCAGGCAGACCTCACTTGTGGCGGCCTCTGCTCCCCTGAGTGTATTTCAGTCCTTCTGCCTGTTCTGCATCCCGCTCTGTCTCTGGTGAATACTCTTGCCCTCCCGCGACTCTGGCCTGTACCCCGGTTCTTGTATAAATAAAAAAAAATTTTTTTTTAAGAAGGGACGCAGCAGGCTGGGCAGGAGAGGTGTGCTGGGCCTGGGTTAGCTCAGCTGCCTGTGGGGCTCAAGCTGATACGGAGGCTTCTGGCCACAGCCTGACGGCGCGGACATTTTAACCCCGAACCACCAGGGAGGCCCCAGTTTTCCATCTTCTTTCCCTGTTTGGATTCCTTGTGTGTCTTTCTCTTACCTTGTTGCTCCTCCAGGAGTAAACTGGGCCTCCAGGATTACACGGAGAAGCAGTGGTGAGAGGGGACATCCTGTGTGTTTGTCACAGATGAATTTTACCATGTGAGGTCAGGCGTGTGCCTTTCCGCCCGAGGGTTTCCAGGGCCTTCATCATGAACGGACGTTGAATTTTGTCAGATGATTTCTCAGTGTCTGTTTATATGATGATAGTTTTTTCTTTTTGTCGATGGGTTGAGTTATATAATTGATTTTTGGATGTTGAACCATGTAGTGACCTTGGGGTAAATCTCACTTGGTCATAGTATATTATCCTGTTGAGGCATTGTTGGGTTCTGTTCGTGAGGATTATTGCATCAGTGTTCATTAGGGAGATTGGCCCGTAGTTTTCCTTTTTTTTTTTTTTGAAAATTTATTCATTTATGCATACAAGAAGTGGGGTGTAGGCCAGAGGAGTGAGGGGGTGAGAGGATTCACCAGGACAGAGTGGGAAACAGAACAGGTGGATTGACTGAAACACACTGCTGAGGGGAGCAGCGGGCAAGTCAGAAAGGTCTGCTGTGCCATGTGGGTCACCTCCCTGGCCAGGGATCCAACTCAGGATGCAGTGGGCAAGTCAGAAAGGTCTGCTGTGCCATGTGGGTCACCTCCCTGGCCAGGGATCCAACTCAGGATGCAGTGGGCTGAGGTGAGCTTCCTAGTGCTGCGTCTTAACCCCTTGCACCACCTGGAGGTTCCCTGTTCTTCTGTGTGTGTTGTCATTGCTTTTGGCATTAGTGTCATGTTGGTTGAGCAGGAGGGGCAGGAAATGCAGGGAAAACAATTGACAGGCCTTCATGTGAGCGGGTCGCTGGTCACCTGAGTGGTCCTGCCCTCCTGGCTTCTGCCTCCAGCTGACATTCTGCTTCCACTGCAGCTATGGTCTCTGCTGCTGCCTTGGCCTCCTCCGCTTAGGCCGGCTCACTCCTGTTGGGCAGGGGAGGTTGCGGCTTCAGGATGGGCCAGTGCCCTGTTCTGCTTCTGGCTGCCCTCGGCCCCTCCCTAGCCCTGGCCGCTGGTGAGGGGGCTTTATGGGTCCTGGTGGGCAGGAGCCTGGGCCTTTCTGGGGTCTGGGAGTGGTCCCCTGCTTGCCTTGGGGCCTTCTCAGGAAGGGTGTAGCCTTTGGGGGGGCTCTTGAGGAAGGTCAGGGGGGACTTGGCTGGCTGCACACCCCTCCTGATATACTGATATATATATTTTTGATGTATTGATGTTATTTAAGCAGTAAAGTTGTGGTCAGCTCTCCGGGTAATGCCCCACCCTCCCAGGTTGCCTTGACAGTCTCTGTTTTTTTTGGTCCTGCATGTGTACCCCTCTTCCTCCATCACTCTTCTCTCCCTTCCCCATTCTGGTCTCACCTGCTGCCTGCCTCCCTGCTGCTCCCCTCCCTGACACTCTCACCTTCCTGCCACCTTCTCTTTCTTTTTTCCCTCCTTCCCAGCAGCCTGTTGAAATGAGGTTGGTGGAGGCCCAAAGACTGATTTATTGGGGCAATTTCTGCTGAAGTGCCCTTGTTGTCCGCAAGAAAAACAAGTACCAAAAGTTCTGACACCACCATTGTTTGCTTGTTCACTCTTGTTTATCAATGGAAGTGAACCACTGGCTGCTGGTCTGTCCCTTTAAGGCAGCCGCCATAGCCACTCCTTGAAGGTAAAATGGAGTGATTTCTGAACAGACGCGAACATATTCATTAAGGTCACCTGTTCTTAGGATTGGGCTTTTTAAAGTCTGACATGGGATTGAAGCATTCTCAAAAGCCAGCTGCTTTATTAGCAGTTAAGCTGCCTCCTCATTAGGAATAGTTTTGTAGACAGCATCTATCAGCTGAGACAAAAAAATCTTGGTAAGTTTCCTCAGACCCCTGTTTGATATTACTAAGGCCAGAGGTTTTCATTTCACCGGCTGGTAACCGGGTCCATGCAAGAACTTCAGCCTCACGCACAATGGGGAAGGCTGATTGATGGTGGACTACAGATTTGGACATTATTTTCATACCAATCATCTTGGCCCATAACCATTGCAAGCGGAATTTCATCTTCTTTCTTTTTTGCTTCCCTATTACGTTTCTTTACAAGCCTCTGTGCCTCTTCCTCATCTTTTGCTTTCCACAGCAAAAAGATGCCTCCAGGCAAACTAGATCTTGCTGTCATTTGCCAGTCAGGAGGAGTGAGAAATTGACTGGCCACTGACTCTATTAGCTGTATAGTATAAGGGGAAGTAGCTCCGTAATCATTAGTTGCCTTTTTTAATTCTTTTAAATGCTCAAAGGGGAGGGGCTCCCATTGAGGCTCCTCCAGTTGATTATCAACATTGAGCACAGGAAAGCACCGAAAGGTAAAATCACCCTTTTTTTCTGCCTCTTTTATTGCACCTGCAAGGCCAGCTCTGGGGGGTTTATGCATCAAATCACTGGATAATGTTCGTGGTTTCTCTCTGGAGACTGGCTGTATGTTTTCAGAAGGATCTGATTGAATATTACCGGAGCGAGGCTTGAGATCTGTCTTTCCTATGGCTAGGTTACTGACATATTTTTTAACGATCTCAGCCAGGTCCGGGCTGGTGAGCAGTTCAGAATTTGGAGTGGTTTCATAATTAGGAGCTGATGCCCTCGCTAGGGGGTCTGTACTGGCTCGGAAATTTTTTTCTGACTTTTGAAAAACAGTTTCCTCATCTGAAGAATCCTGATCACTTTCCCTACTACTGTAGGCTATTTTTTCTTTTACTTTTGGTTTTACATCTTTTGTTTCACCTCCAGCCAGGCTTAGCCGGTCTATTTGTTCAGGCAATTGCTTTGTTAATACAGGGCTGTCAGCCGCGGTTTCTTTGATGTCCTCTAAAGTTACAGAGGCACCAGGCACAGACAGCCATGACTCCCTAAGTTTTTTATTTGTTTTTTCCAATTCAGACCCTTGATCTAACATGTCCTGTAACAACTCCCACAGTGAAAGTGCATCTATGGGGACCTTCTCGGGTCCGTGGAAAGTATAATAGGTGGTCATTTCCTCTCCTGCTCTGGTCCAGGTTTTTGCATCCAGAGTTCCATCCCTTGGAAACCGAGGGCAACACATCTCAACAAAATTTAAAAAGTTAGCAAATTGTGCCTGAGAGGTTTTAACGCCCCTCGTAGCCAAGTGTATGCTTAATTATATCAATAAAGAGTCCTCTTTCCTTAGACTCAATATGGCTCATAGCTTCTCAATGGATAAGACACCCACTTGACTTATCCGTTCTGGATTGCTGCTCTGGTACACACCTTACCCTGTGAGCAGAGCCTATCTGTCCCGGAAATGGAAAGAAACTTACCTCTCCAGTCCCTGTTTGGGCACCACCTGCTGGAGACCAGCTCCAGCTAGAAGTTGTGTCGGGTCTCAGAGAGGAGAGGACAGCATCAGCCAAGTTTTCTCAGAGGACTGAGGGGAGGTGGAGCGAGGTAGGAGTGAGGTAGACACAGACACCCCCTCTTTCCAGCTATGCCCCATCCTTGATGCCCCTTCCATGCTGTACCCCCTTTTTGCTGATCCTCCTCCCTACTTCCCCCTCCATCCCTGCTGCCCCATTCCCTGCTGTTCCTCCTCTCTGTGTTCTAGGGTGTCGTCCTCTTCCTCACTCGTTTTCTTCCTCCCTCCTGCACCATTGCCTGCCAGGAGCCTTCACCTGATGGATCCTACCTCCCCCCCATTTCACTAAGCCCTGCTTTCTGAGGGTGCTTTATTTGCAAATTTATTTATTTATACAAGAACTGGGGTACAAGCCAGATGTGCGGGAGGGTGACAGGATTCACCAGAGACAGCAGGGAACAGCACAGGCAGACTGATGAAATACACTGCTGAACGGAGCAGCGGGCGAGACAGGAGAGGTCTGCTGCGCCATGTAGGACCCTTGCCAGCCGGCCGTGATCCAACCAGCGCTGCAGAGGCTGCCGACAGCTTCACGGCACTGTGCTCAACCGCCTGTGCTACCAGGGGAGGCCCAGAGGGTGCTTTTTGCCTCTGGTATCTCCCTCCATGCTAATCCCCCCCCCCCACACACATCCAGGAGAGCCTGGGAGCTCCTCATCTTTGCCTTGACTGCAGGCACAGCGCCTCTGTACAGACCTGCCCTATCCTCTGGCCTCAGCTCCCACCTTCAGCCAGTGTAGCTCCTGCTCCTGAGCCCTCAGCATGGGCCCTTCCCCACCCCTCCTGTCCTCACCCCAAACCCTCCTCTCTGGTCAGCACCCCAACCCAGGCCCTGATCATCTCTGATCCCCAGTCCTGTCCTCAGCACCAGTCTCCCAGCTGCCTCTTTATCTTCCAGCCTCCCGCCCTCCCCAGACCTGAGAGCTGCTCCTGATGCTGCTCCTCTTAGGCCTTTACCCCCTTGGGTTCCTTGACCCCAGTGGGCTCTGGCTCCTCACACCACAGATCCACCACCCTATGGCAGCCTTCCCGCCCCCTGCCCCCGGGTCCTACTCCCATCTGCCTCTGATGGACACACAGCCCTGTCTGTGGAGGGGACTCATCGCCACCTGCATCACCCCACACTGCAGCTCTCCCCTCCTGTGCCCTGGCCACCTGCTGGGCATTGAAGTTCTGCTCCCCCTCCCCAATCTAAACTCTCCCTGGGCCCACGGGCTGACTCGCAGTCCCTAGACCCGTCTCTCCTCCATCACAGACAGGTTCATCCATCTCCCCAACCTGTCCTGGAGGAACCACAGCCCAGCCTGGCTCATGTGGCCTCCTGCTGCTCACCACAGCTGCACTGATCACTGACCCCTGCCCTGGGCCTTCATGTCCCCTCCCTTCTCTCTGAGAAGAAACCCCAGCGCTCTTAGGGACCCAGTGCCCCTCTCTTGGCCTCTGACCCCAGTTTCCCTTCTCCATCCTTTTCATCCACCCTCACCCCTCTCCTTCCTTTCTTTTTTGAGATTTATTTTCTTACATAGTTGCTAATTTTTGTACAGAATTTCATTTCCCCTCTCAGGTACAGTCCCCTTGGTCCATCGCCCCGTCCCTGTGCTCTCCCTCCCAGTTCTGCCCCTCCCTTGCTCCTCTCCTTCCTTCTCCTTGCCTGTGTCCTGTACTGCGAACCCTCCTCCTGTCCCTACAAACACAGCCCTGTCTGCAGCCCCCAGGCCTCCAGGGCTCAGGACGCGCAGCCTCGAGTAACTCTGATGCTCAGGTAGCTCATCCCTGCCTCACTGAGGATTTCTCCCCCCAGGACCCCACAGGCTTCAGTATGAGCTCACAGAGACCCAGGATGCAACACTGTACTCGCAATTCGTTGCCAAGGAACACTTGGACGATCAGCTCATCCTGTGCTATGACGGTGGGAACAGCAGGCCGGAGACCCCAGGCCTGCTGGCACGAGTCATCCTGGGAGCTGAGCCGGGGGACACCGTGACCAGTGGCTTCGCAGAGGACAGGAGGGGCCTCTGGAGCAAGCTGGCAGATATCAGGGAAAAGCAGAGCCAGAGTGGAGGTGAGAGGGGCAAGCATGGGGGGCCTTTCCCAGGACAGTTAGGGCCGCCGGTGGGGCCTGTCTCTTTCCAATAGATTTGCTGTGGGGGGTTGAGAATGGAGGTGTGTGGATTCAGCACAGAGGTGATGTCTCTTCAGCCAGCACAGGGAGAGGTGGGGAGAGTGGGGGCGGGGGTGGTGTGAGTTTCCCCCCTGGGGGAGCAGGGGACACAGGACTGGGGGAGTCACCACTGGGTCTGTGTTGGGGGTAGGCTCCCGTTCCCTCCAGGAGGTTCGGGGCTGTGAGATCCATGACGACAACACCACCAGGGCCTTCAGGCGCTTCTACTATAACGGGGAGCCCTTCCTCTTCTATAATGAGGCGACCCATGAATGGGAAGCACCCCAGTCCTCGGTTCTTCCCTTGGCTGTGGAAGTCAAGAACTCCTGGGACACAGATAGGATTGGAAGCCAGAATTCCTGGGCCCTTGTGCGTGGTGACGTTTGTGGAAAACTGCAGAGATATCGGCAAACCTGGAAGGCCTTCACTAAGAGAACAGGTGAGACTCTGGGCACCCCATACCCCCCAGCCCGTCTCCTAGCGCTGCCCAAGGGGACCCTCCAGTACTATGGGCTGCCTGAATGGTCTCAGGGGTGTGGTGTCGTGAGGTGCCTGCACTGTTATGCCCCAGGGTGAAGACACGAGGTGGGGAGGGCACAGACTCCAGGGAGCTACAGAGCACTGAGCTGGAGCGCGGGGGTGAGGAAGGAGGGGATGACCCCAGGCTGGACGTCAACCCCTCTAGCTCCCAGCTTGTCAGTCCCTCCTGGTCCCCCGTGCAGGAGCCCACCCCTCGCTTCCCCCTCCTCAGCTTCAGCATGTGGGTCCTGGGCCATCCTCCACCAGTCTGAGGAGCTGGGCCCCAGGGTACAGAACCACCTGTGGAAGGCCCCGGGCTCAGTGATGGAGGTGGGGAGGAGCAGCCTCAGTCATTCCTCTCTCCATCTCCCTCACTGGGGAGCAGGGCTTGGCCTTGTGTTTCACTGACTCTGTGCTTTCTTCCTGGTACCCTCAGCTGTGAATGCGACCTGCAGCCAGGCCTCGGAGGGTGTGGTCAATGTGACCTGCTGGGCATCCGGCTTCTCTCCCTGGAATATCTCACTGGTCTGGCTGCAGGACGATGAGCCTCTGAGCCCAGATGCCCAGCTGCCTGGGGGTGTCCCGTGTGATGAGAACGGGACCTATCGGGCCTGGGTGGCCCTAAGGCTTCCCAAAGGAGAGGAGCAGAGGGTCACCTGCTCTGTGGAACATTACTGGAATTGCACTGTGACCTGTGGTGAGCCTGGGGTTTCTTGTCGGGGTTGGACCCTGTAGGGCCAGGAGCCAGGATGGGGGTGGAGAGCAGGCGTTGGTACTGGGTACCCAGGTTAAAATAAGACCTTTTCTAGGAAACGTGCAGGTGCATCAGCGTCCATGGCCAGCTATGTCTTGGGGTATCACTGTCGCTGCCACTTTCACTGTCCTTGTCGCTGCTGTCCTTCTTTATAACTTTCGGCTCAGGAAGACATCAGCTGGGGAGCGTCCAGGTGAGATACGGGGCTGTGGGTGGCAAGAGAGGGGCTCTTCTGCCTGTGACCAGGGTCTCATATCTCCCACTCTGCAGCTAGGAGAGGGATGACTGGCCTCTGTAACAGGAGCTGGAAGTGGGGTCCTTGTGACGGGTTTGGGGGCCACCTCTGTGCCCTTAACCCTGCCCAGAGCCAGGTCCCTGAGTGTGCAGCTGGGGCCTCCCTCTTGGGAGGTGTATGGGGGTGGCAGAGGCCATGTCCCTTGCTCAGATTCCTTAGGCTTGTCACTGCTGTCAGGCTGCCCAGGGCTTGTGGGGGTGTGTTGGGAACCATGGGCATGTTACGTGTGGGCCTGTGTGATCCTGGACTCGGGGTAACAAGCAATAGGAGCACCTGTGACCTAGTGGGTGGAATAAACTCTGTGGAGTTGGGGCTCTGAGCCCTACAGCGAGGGGCTCAGGTAAGCAGGTCTGTGGGCTCCTGTTCTTCTGCCTGACACCCCCTCCCCTTGGGTCAGAATGTTGCTGCTTTTGTCATTGAGACTTGGACGCAAAAAGAATATGAAAGTCATGAGCTAATTTCCAAATTTCCTTCTTTGAACTTGAAGTCCAAAGCAGAGGCTTATGGGTGTCACTGGTTAGCCTTAACGGGGCTTCCTCCAGTGCCGGGTCTTGGGATGCATATAAAGTGAACAGGAGTTCTCTGGGGAGCTCCCTGTTTAAGAGGGTTCCAGATGGGCGGTGGGGGGGTGGTGACACTGACAGTCCAGGGTCAAAAAGGACAGACCTAGCCTCAGGCTAGGGGTCTCCAGAGTCCCTCACTGCACTGAGAAGCAGACCCCTAAGGCTGTGAGCCAGTGCCTGGACAGGAGGGAGGGCCTGGGAGCCTCAGCCAGGCAGCAGCATGGGGTGGAGCTCAGACTCCAGGCACCAGGGCCAAGTGCGGCCTGAGATCCTGAGGGGGCTGCGTGAGGGTCCCAGCAAGGGCTGACCTGTGTGAGGTGCCCCAGAATCCATCAGCCACCTAGCTCGTCACCTGAGATCCCAGTGGCCATGCAGTTAGGAGCTTCTGGGCAGGGCTGGAGCAGGAGCAGGCTGAGCTGCAGGGGAGGTCAGGATGTGGGGGACTGGTGGGGGAGCAGGCAGTGGCCCTGGGGTGCAGGAGGCTGGGAGCTGAGGAGAGTAGCCCAAGCTCTCACTCTGTGGTGGTGCTGGGGGCAGGGACAGGTGATGATGGGGTGGAGTCAGGAGCAATCAAAAGGGAAATTCCTGAAGGAACAGGAGGCAATATTCTGCAGCCAACTGAGCATTCACTGGTGTCTCTTTCCCCAGGGCCCTTTAGTGGGGAAGACCTGAGCCAAGTGGTGAGAACGGACCTTCACAGTGCCGGGGCTCAGGGCTCTCAGCGTCTTTTGTCAGCACCTGAGTCCAGGGACTCAACTGGGGGTGCTTAGGGTCTGACCCTCCGGCCTGGACTCGCTGCCTGCGCTCCTCTCACCAGCACTTTCTCTCGGTGCCTCCCTTTTCTCATCTGAAATTAGATGACAGCATTCTCTGTCTCTATCTTTCCTCTCTACCTCCTGAGGAGTCCCACAACCAGCTTTTCTTTGTGCTCTGTCACTTTGTGTCTCTGTGCAGGTCATGTAATATGTATATATATAGTGTGTATATATGTATATATAATGTGTGTATATATTAGGTACATACCTATAGATTTCAATTTTTATAATTTTATAAATCTTTAAACATACATGTCTGGTGTGTGTATTATTTCACGTGACTGGAAAGGGATAGTGTGAGGTTGGGGGAGATGGAGAGGGAGATACGGTGCTAAAAATCCTCAGCTCCCGCTCCCCAGCTCCCAGTCCTGCCAGACTCACAGGAAAGCACAAAGGCCTGGAGAAGCTGGAATGGGACATCTGGGCAGAGTGCTCAGAGGCTGAGCCTGAGGGAATCTGCCCTGATGGTGGGAGCTCACGTGAAGGAGCAGAGCTGATCTTGGGAGGAGACAGGGACACTGCATTGGGGTTACCTTGTGACAGGATAATCCCCAGGGTTCCTACACGCCCACCACCCCCCCCCTCCAAGGAAGGGTGGGGTTGAGCAGGGAGGAGAAGCTAGAGAAGACCAGGGAAGGCAGGAAGGGGATCTTGGGTGAGGAACTGGGCCGAGACATGAAGAAGCTGCACTTGCTCCTTGGCCTTGGCTTGTACCAGGGATGAGGGACATGGAAGGAGACACTTGAGACAGAAACATGTGTGAGAGGCCGTGGGGAGGCTGATGATGGCAGCTTTTACTTTATTTCATTTTTGATTTTTTTCTCCTTCCCTTGAAGACTTGCCTGGCCCCTTCCACCCCCTTCCCATGGTTCCACACCAGAAAGTGCCAGAGACTTGTGGCAAGATTTTGGGCCTCAGCAGTCCTGCTTTCGGCCAACCTTGTTTGGGCATTTACCCATGAGGGGATGGGTAATTTTGGTTGTTTGATTTGGAAGCTTCTTTCCTTCTCTCTATTGCACACTAATTGTATTAAAGTTCCTCTGCGGGGAAGGTCTCATGCACTAGATCATGTTTGTGTTGATGAGTCAGATGGCAGGAGGCATTTAGCAGGCAGGTTTGGGGGTTTCTGGGGTGCCCCACCCCTGCCCTGTAACAGCCCACACCACGCAGAACAGGGGCCAGTCCGCTGGGATGAAGTGGCTTCCGGGCGGGTATAGACTGTTGAGGAGAGAAGTGAACATGGATGTGGATGAGCACACACAACCCCAGCATCTCCCCCCAAGTTCTGTGAGATTTCTGTAAGAGGGAAATTTCTGCAAGGGAGATGAAGGGTTCCCCATCTGAGGATATTGCTTCCTCACTTGGGAGGACACACCGACTGTTGGTACTCTTCTTGGTCAGGAATGACTAACACCTACCAGGTTAAACACTGATGACAGCACTGAGGTGGGGGTTTGCACCACCCACAACCTAACATTTGAGGGGAGCCCAGTGGGCAGCAAGACCTGCCTGGAAGGAAGAGGAGGGTGAGGGTCCTGTTCTCACCTAGGTTCACAGCATGAACAGTAAGGAAATTGGAAAAGAGAATTCACTGATACATCTTTTCAGATTGTGTGTGTTGACGTATTTCGTGTTTTTATTCAGGGTTGATGTCATGCAGCATTCAGGCTTGCATTTGGGTATTTCTGCATTTCAGCTAGCTGCAAGTGTCATTTGCATTCAGTTGTCATTAAGTAAACTTCATACTCAAGCAACTTTTTGCTTTTATTTGAATCAGTCACAACTCTAAGATGCAAATATTTGTGCAAGATTTCTCTTGAAATTGACACCCTTGTAGTCCTCTTCTCAGCTTTTGCCTTCCTCCAGGTAACTATTTTCAATATTTTTAGATGATTCTATTGGCTTTTTACTTTCATATGTCTAAATTCTGTGTCTTTAGTACTGCTGCTTGATGTTCTGGTTATGTCATCCATCAGTGACTGATGTGATTGTTAATAGAGAAATTTTCTTTTTCTTTTATTCTTCCCACTCCTTCACAAAATGATAGCTTCCCATAGAGTGATTATATTTAGTGAGTCATTCAGTATTTTCTTTTCCATAACTAGTGGTCTTATATGTAAATATTAGTCCTTGTAGCTGCTGCACAACTTTCTATTCTCCCTGGAGTTCATAATTGCCTTTGTTTTTTTTCTGTCATTTTCTTTTTTTTTTTTTTTTAAAGATTTATTTATCTATTTACACAAGCACTGGGTACAGTCAGAAGCGCGGGAGGGTAAGAGAATTCGCCAGAGCCAGAGAGGAGAGCAGAGCAGGTAGACTGACGAAGTACACTGCTGAGGGGAGCAGCAGGAGAGACAGGAGAGGTCTGTTTGCGCCATATAGGATCCTCGCCAGTGGCCGGCGATCGAACCGGTGCTGCAGAGGCTGCGGCAGCTTTACAACCCAGCGCTCAACCGCTGCGCCACCGGGGAGGCCCTTTTCTGTCATTTTCTATGTACTTTCACAATTTGACTTAGGTATTTATTCTATTGTACGACTTCTTTTTAAGATTGGTTTATTATTTATGCGTACCAGAACTGGGGTACAAGGCACAAGTGTGTGGGGGATTCACATAGACAATATGGGGAACAGAACAGGCAGACTGACTGAAATACACTGCCGAGGGGAGCAGCGGGTGATACAGGAGAGGTCTACTGTGCCATGTGGGTTGTTCCCTGGCCGGGAATCAAATTCGTGCTTCAGTGGCTGCAGACAGCTTCATTAGTTTGCGTCTTAACCCCTTGCGCCATCAGGGAGGCCCCTCTATTGTATGACTTTGAAGAAGTGAGGACACTGTAGGTATTTTACCTATTTTACCTTCATTTCTCCTGGACCCCTCTTACATGTGCCCATCTGGATTGGATTCTTTTATGTACCCACTCTGTAGAGACTCTGGTCCCTCCCTGGCCCTGCCCCTGCCCCTGACGCAGACAGAGGGCGTGGCTCCCGCTGTGTCCTCTCTGAGAGGAGAAAACCTAGATGGTGTGACTCCTTTAGGAGCCTTTGCTAATTACTGGTTATTTTATCTCTATATATTATTTAATGTAATGTTAGGTGGGTTCCAGTTTGCTGGCAATATTAGTGAGAGTAGAAAGCTCAATAACTTTTTTGCCCAGTGGGGTAAGGATACAGAACTGGGAACCCAGAGCGTTGGGCAGGAGGATGTTGACTTTGAGCTCCAGGCTCAGGGACAACATCCTCCAGGCAAAAGTCAGTCAGCCCTGGCATCCTATGGGAGCAGGCGCGGCCCAATATCATCCTCTTGTGGTCACAGTCTTCCTGTGCCCAGGTCAAGCAGCAGGACCTGAGCTCAGCCTGCCCTTGATGTTCTTCACTGATCCCCAGGCCTGAGTCCAACTTCCCACAGAGCAGTAAAGCCTGAGGGGGACTATATGGGTTGGAAGGATGTCAAACCTGGGAGATCCCTGTCACCGTGCTCAGGGGAGAGCTAAGCCTCCCTCCCCATTCTGAGGGAGTTTTGTCCCTGATGGGCCTACAGAGAGGAAGATACTGTTCCTCACCCTGCAGGAGAAGCCCAGCGCCTGCTGGTGGGGAGGGAGGCTTCTCCTCTCCTGTGTGCTGGTCAGGGCCACCCAGGGTTAAGGACTAAACCGCGGACATCACCTAAACCGCGGACATCACCTCAGCTGTTGGAAGCCAGAGGCTCACCCGGGGTGCTGTTCACCAAGGGGTCCTTGGGCTTCCAATTCCTCCATGTGCTCAGATGTCTGACAAGATGGTAGCAGGTTCTGTGTAAATTAGACATTTTAATATTTTCTTTTTTTTTTAATTTATTTTTATTTATTTGTACAAGCATTGGGTAGAGTCAGAAGCGTGGGAGGGTGAGAGAATTCACCAGAGCCAGAGTGGGGAGCAGAGAAGGCAGAAGGACCGAAGCACACTGCTGAGGGGAGCAGCGGGCGGCAGGAGAGGTCTGCGCGCCATGTGGGACCCTCCTCTGGTGGCCGGGGAGCAGCCGGGGATCGAACCGGTGCCGCAGAGGCTGCGGGCAGCTTCGCAACCCAGTGCTCAACTGCTGCGCCACTGGGGAGGCCCTTAATATTTTCTTACTAGTCATAGGCTTTTAAAAAAATACTGATTTTTTGAAGATTTTATATATTTAGACAACAAGAACTGGAGTACAGGCCAGAGGAGCAGGAGGTGAGAGGATTCAGCAGAGACAGAGTCGGGGGCAGAAGAGGCAGATCAACTGAAATACACTGCTTGGGGAGCAGTGGGTGAGACAGGAGAGGTCTGCTGCGCCATGTGGGTCACCCCCCTGGTCGACAGTGGATGGAACTCGTGCTGCAGTGGCTGCAGATAGATTCATAGTGCTGCGACTTAACCCATAGTCCACCAGGGAGGCTCCAGATCTTAATTTCCTGTGAGTAACATCTAGGAATGTAAATGCTGGTTCTAGATTTCTAGTTTAGTAACTTTATGAAAAGACACAAAACTGTTTCAGTGTGGGTGTCTTATATGTTTAGAGGAATGGATGAGATTCAGCTTCTTCCAGCCCTTGCCAACCTGATTGTTACTCATCTTTTCACTTTTAGCCATTCTTATGGGAGCACAGTGACTTCTCACGGTGGTTCCATCTTGGCGTTGCCTCCTCATTCCCATGACTACTGATGTTGAGAATTTTTTCATATACACATTGACCATTTATGGATCTTCCGTTGTAAAATGCCTATTTAAATCTTTATTTTTTGCTGTTTGTTATTTGTCTTATTATGAAGTCATGGGAGTTTTGTATACACTCTGGATAGAAATCCTTTGTCAGATAAACGTATGACAAACATTCTGACAAAGAGCGTCAGTCTGTCCCGGTCAAGGTCACTAACATGCTCTGTGTCATCACCTGAGACGGAAACGTCTGTGTCATCTCTCTACACCTCTCAGCAGCTTCCTCACACGCCAGGCTGCTCTCTCCTCTTATTTATTTTTACTTAATCCCTTGGCTTTCCTTCACAAATTTCACTGGATCTACTAGAAGAAAGAAAAACTAGATGTAGATCTACTAGAAGGAAAAAAAACTGTCCTGCTAGGAAAAAAAGCAAAACAGAAATCTTGATGGGGTCAGCACCAGGTTTGATACTTGGCACATGTGATAGTGTTTGTTGCATGTAGGGGACAGAGCAGACCCCAGACCATGCTCAGATTCATTTCTGATGTGTGTGTTTCAGCCAACACTGCACAGGCAGGGCC